TCAACGTTGATTCAATGTTTCTGGCTGACATTGATTCAATGTTGTTTCAATCATTCTGTGCTATCTGGGTATCAACATGCATTCACTCACTCCCTAGCAACTCTCTTAATCATTTGTCTCATCAAGATCATAGTGCTTAAGCCCGGAACTGTGGTCAAGGCGACTTACTGCTAGAGGGATTTAGGGATCAGGAAACGATGAAGGGGGGATGCAAAGCAAAGAGGAGAAATCTAAATCAGATAAGAAAATAATAATAAAATAATTAAAAAAAAAAAAACAGTTGGTGCCAGCTTGTAAAATTTGGCAAGATGACAGAAACTAAGACGTATGAGTGGTAAAGAGAAAATGGTTATATAAATAGCAAAAAAGGAGTGGAAGGAAGGGAGGGAGGAAGGAAGGCAAAAGTGGTGCAGTCAGTATTCCAGCTGGGTAACAAGCTGATACAGCCACAGTGGCAGCCACAACTCAAGAACTTGGTGTGGTCCATCCGTTATTATCCGGTGCAAATTCACACCGCCTGACTGGCAGTGAGAGCAGGGTCAGTTTCAGAGTGAGAGGAAAAAGGGTTACAGAGAGGTGTGGATTTAAAAAAAAAAAGTTAACAAAAATCTAGATAGGACTGCTCTCCTGGCCTAAGTGTACGCTACAGCCACTCATTAAACACAGAAACCTGTCATTTTACTTAGCAGACGCCAGACAAAATCCAAAATGGTTATATAATACTTTCTGGGGGGATGAAAACCTCTTGGGAAATCCTGTCAGTCAAAGTAATCCCTTCAATTTTTCCAGCTACTGTTCATCTAAGGACTGTATGATATAGCCTGCAGCTCTGTAATCACACGCTGGCTGAAGGGATGAGGCTATTCTGGATTGACGGAGAGCCAGGCACTGGAAACCCAGCAGGACGCACACACTTCAAGTCATCTCCACCATCAAAAACCCGATTAAAAGATTCCCCTGGTATGCATACATATCTTAAGAAACTCACATTATAGATACGACAGGGGAAACGGAGGTTATTTTTGAGCATTACATAAAACAATATTCATGAGGTGAGGCTGGGATCTGTTGGAATAAGGACAACTGGGCCTGTGATGTAACAGAAAGACTGCTTTGCTGTAACTGAAATCAATTAGCTGTCAATGCAATTAACAGGACTGTGGAATATTAATTTAACTCCCTGGTTTGAATCTTGATAATATTCTACAAAACTTCCCAAGGCCAATGCTATCTGTGCATCTTGCAATACAAAATCACATAAAGAGTGTTGTGAGCTGAGAGTTCAGTTGTAATAGGAACGACTGGAATTCATGCAGCTGGAGTTAAGGCTCCCAAACTAACAGATTTTCTGCAGCGTTCGCACTTCTTGTTTACACACAGAGTTTTGTTGAGTTTTTCTTTGTTAAGATCAGCCTTTTTGTAGCAACTCACAGACACGAGCACCCAAGGGAATCGGAGAGCAGCTGTGATTAAACTGTTTATATGAACTCTGTATGCATCCTTTTTACGTTTTTGATTTTTTTTTTTGTTTTTTTTGTTCACATGAAGGTCACAAACATGAATTAACTTCTTACTGTGGCTAACCATGGAGAACATGCCCATTTGTACAGCACAGACCTCAGAAAGTGGGAAGAAGCTGGTGTTCTGGTCATGTCAGTGATAATTCTTCAGTTACACAGAAGAGTGTTTTATTTTATATTGAAATCTCTGTTCAAGTAAACATATTGCTATGCTTTTGTTGCAAGACAAATACTTTTACTTTCTCAAGACCGCACTCTAAGTCTGAAATTGCAGCCATCACTTATCGTTTTCTTCCTTCAACCAAAGCTGTGGTACGAGTTGGGAGTTGTGTTCAGCGTGACCTTTTGACCCTTCGCTACACATTTGACTAGATTATCTAAAACACATGGCTCTAATTAAATGAATTGGAAGCATTGGCAGGGAACTAAGCTGTCTACGCTCCACGACCTGTTCACCTTCTTCAAATGTACAAAGATCATTTCGTGTTCCCCAACCATATTTGATTACTGGTCAAGAGGCCTAAACATGCAAGTCTGATTAAGCCTGGACAGAATCTGAGTCAACAGCAAAAACATCAAGAACGAACCAGCATGACTCTGTTTACATGACCAAAGGTTAAAACCGAAGCTCCACATCGATTTCCCAGAGCTTTAATTCACCTCACTGGATTTTTTTTCCTATTCATTAAATATGTCAGAGCTAAGAATTTCCACAACTTTTTGGTCAACATTTAATCTTCAACCGAGGTATGCTGTGACACACTTTTTTAAAAGTTTCATAAAAACATCTAATAAAATCATACATATGTGTATGCTTTGATGTATGAATATTTATAATCTTGAAATTCTTTTTTTTTTCCCAGTTAGATTTTAAAAAAAAATCTAAAATCGATAAAATTGAAAACAATAGATATGACCGTATAAGGAGGTGGAAATCAGCATCAGTGGATTAATTAACACCACAAACTCAACACTCCATGCATTCGTTATTAAATAAGAAGGTTGGAAAACATAAAATATATTTTGGGAATTGTTTAGTAAACTTTAACAGGAGGAAGAAATCTTCCCTCATTGTGTTCAGGACCTGCTGTAACCCTGAACATAATGCAGCTTGACTCTAAAACACACACAAGCATCTGAGGACCATTAAAGTCTATTTTCAGGACGTCTCTGCTGAGGCACATATAACAGATGCATTATCACACCGCAGCAAAGGGCTCAGCCTCTCTCCTGCACGCTCCCTCCGTCTGCTGCTCTCTCTACCTCCTGCCTAATAGAGGCCCTTCTAATTTCATCAAATGTGATAAAGCACCACAAAATCAAGTCTGCAGCTAGTTACTTAGCCCAATCTCCCTTTGGATGAGAGGCAATAACAGCATGTGGTGAGGAAATTGGGTGCTTACTCACTCAGAAGGACGCATGCCTAGCAAGCAGAATGTGCTGGTTACGGCAAAGACTCACAGAAGACCACAAGCACGAGGAAGGAGCGAAACCTGCCACGGTCGCAACAGCAACACTTAAAAGGTGGCTGGGGTTAGGGTTGAACTCTGCTGTTCACGATCAGCAGAGTGAAAAGGAGCAAGATCCCGTGAGCATATAAACTGTCAGGGTGGTTTAGAAAGATTTCTGTGAAATTATTTCAATAATTCAGAGTTGAAAAGCTGTTGATTCAAAACTCAACACAGGAATAAGCCTACAACACTAATCTAACTCGGACTTACAATGAGTATAAATAATAGAGCTCGCCGCTGTACTTTTTCTAACTCGGTGCCGTCACTCGGAGCGTGCATAAAAATGCACCTGACGGTCCTCTGGAGTGCAACAGCTGCTGCAGGGCTATGCCAGGACACAAGTGAATAGGATGGCACAAAGCTCAGAGAGCAGGCTGGCTGAGTGACAGAGGGCCTTGCTGGATCCGAACTGAAGCACACATGCATGCCCTCCAGGCTGTTCCGTGTGAACCCCCGTACAGGATGCAGTGCTGGCCGGGACACGGTGGAAACTAAAGCATTGGCTGGTTTCCTTTGAGCCCCTGTGCTTAGAGCAGGCGAATCGCCATAGTGAGCTTTTTTTCTAACAATGCCCTCAAATATTTTTAGAAGAGACTATTATTTCCTCCGACAGGATATTTGGCTGCCATTTATCAAAGAACTGTACTATACTTTGAGCACATGATACAAATACATTCAATGAGGATTGTAGAATTATCCGTGCAATATTTTAAAACAAATGTTTTAAAAAGTCACCACACGTACTGCTAAGTCTTGTTAATATGATTCCAGAAAAAGAGCTGCAGAAACTAGGATTGTTTGTTACTCATCCACCTGCTGCTGCACACCACAGTTCAGCTGGCTTATAGAAAGGTTCAACACTTTTTCTTATTCTCTATACCAAAAAAAAAAAATCTAATTTGGTTATGCATGTTTGATCATACAAATGCAGAGAGTTACGGTGTGGAAAAGAGTCTAGAAGCAAACGTATTGCACTTAGCATAATTGTCCTCACTTTCTTGTGTTGGCATGATAGGAAGAAGGGAGCAGGAAGGAAGGAAGGAAGGAATGTCATGGTGACCTACAAGGTCTTTGATGAAAACAGCATTTTGGCAGAGAACCAGCAATTTGTAATTTCATTCAGTGTTTCTGTGAAGGTTGTGTATTGTATTGTACTGTATTGTACACCAGGGATGGGCGCATCCATTTATCAGAGCACCTCTGTGATAAAGCACAAAGAACGGCCAAGGATCAGAAGGAAAGGAAAAGAGGTCCAATTCTCATTATGTTCGGAGCCACAAGGGCACAAGGGTGAAAAAAGGCCTTATAAGACCTGAGCAGACAGGAAACACTGGAAGACATTGCACCCCACAATCTAGTCCTATCCTAGGAATTGTATCTCTTCCTTACTCATTCCTCTTTTTCTTCTCTCAGTGACTCAGAGCTGATGATCTGACACATTTTTGGTGAATCAGGGAAACTCCTGCAGCCTGAAATGAGATTGAGGTGGATAACTTAGGAGATTGTGGCAAAGAACATATGCGCGATGCCTATACTTCACAGGTTCCATGAGAGTCAGAGCAGTATGAAGAGCAACTCCAGCCAGTCCGCTACAGTGAACCTGGGAATAAGTGGTTCACACTCATTTTCACAGGCCAGAGATTTCTGATTCAGTCCCCCTGCTCTGTGATAGATTTAACACCGAGACAGCCGGGCCATTCATAATCTGCAGACATGCTGGAGAACATATTTTATATGTGGCTGCTGAGCCTCATATGACTTCCTGTCAGTAGTCCTCCTATGCTACATCTTGATATAGCCGCAAAAGCAAAAAGGCTCGAGGTTTCTGGAGAGTAAGGAATTGATGTAATCGCACACACTTGGATGTGCATAAGTAGGTCTTCAGAAAGAGAGGAGTGTGATTTTTTATAGGGGATGGGAATTATCTAAATCCATGCCTAGCATGAAATGGACTGTAATTCGTGCATTGATTTGACTGTATGTAAAATG